AAAAAAAAAAAAAAAAAAAAAAGAAAGAAAGAAAGAAAGAAAGAAAGAAAGAAAGAAAGAAAGAAAGAGGCACAATTAGTCAAGAGGCAAGTCAAATATGAAGGTGATACAAACAACTGTGCACAGCCTCTGACATGGCTGCAGGAGAGCTCCCAAAGTTATCCTCCTGCTGTATTGAAGCCTGTCCTGCAAGCACAAAGTCCTGAGTTCAATCCCCACTACCACATATATAAATAGATAAACAAGTAAGTGAGTAAGTGGCTATCATAGCACTTACTACTTCATATTTTGGACTGACTGCTACAGTATTGGTAATTATTATTTAAATATAGAGTCTGTCTTCTACACCAAGTAGTACATTTCTTAAAGGCAGCAGACTTATTCTACCATTTGTAGTCTAAGCTTCTACTGTAGTGCCTCCAATATAACACATTTTCAGTAACACCTACCACTGATGATGGTAATGAGTGATAAGCAATCATATTGGCATGGCTGAACCAAAGGCAATTCTAAGGAGATCACACACGCATAATGTTATAAATAGAAAAGATTGGGATAGTATCTGAGTACCTGTATGGTACTATTTTCTTCTCTAAGAAGAAGAATTTCAGCTGTCAGAGCATCAATGAGCTCTCGATGATCGCCTAATACTTGTTCCAGTTGTTGCCTTGTCTCTACTTCTTTACGTAGTTGAACTTCACTCTAAAAAAAAATAAAAAACTTCTACCAGTAACAGAACATACTTAAAACTAAGTTTCTGCTCAAAGCTGTCAAAGAAGGTAATTACAAAGACACACATATTGGTGTATATGAGAATTTTAACTTTTTTCTTGGTCTATATTTGCAACACATACATTTAAGAGAACTGGCACATACATTAAAATATGAAATGCTTCATGAATTTGCATGTTTACTTGAGCAAGGACCACACTAATCTTTTCTGTATCATTCCAATTTTAGTATATGTGCTGCCAAAGCAAGCATAACAATTAGAAAATTTTGTTAGGTTTATTATACTTTTTGAATAAAATATGCTGCTTTATATCTTCCCTTCTTTGAACACAATGAACGAAATAATAAGCAAGATAAATAATATTTTCATGAGAGAAAGTTAAAGGATATACATTTACTTTTTTTTTCTATAGTATTAGGGATTCAATCCTGGGAATTAAACTGTATCTCCAGCCATTTTTTAAAAAAAATTTTAGTTGAAAGATAAAAGATTTATATAATCTGAAGATAAACCAGAGTGATTATTTTCTATTTTGAGACAGGATTTTGCTAAGACACTAAGTTGCCCAGGCTGGGCAACTTGCAATCCTCCTGCCTCAGCCTCCCATAGTGCTGGGATTACAGGTACATACCACCATGCCTAGCAATATTTACATATTGTTTGAATATGCACAGGCCATCTCTAAAAGGCTACATTCATGCCAGGCAATGACAGCTATGAGGGAGCAAACAGGTCAACTGGAAATTAGGAATGAGAATCAGATATTTCATTTACACATTTCTGCATCTTTGAATTTCATATACGTGCTATATCACCAATTCAAAACCTGTTCGTTAAAATATAACTAAAAATAAATTTAATAAAAATAATTAAACTCTATTACAATAACTATACTCATTAAATGTTTTAGCTTTGTAAAGTAAGTGATCAGGTAAACATGCTTATACTCCTACAATGCCTGCCAAACATCTGAAACATGCTTCTGAAGATTGCTGACTTACAGGTAAAAAAAAAGTGAAGACTTTAGTAAGTACGACAGAACAACAAATCTGTCATTAAAAAACAATTTTAAGCCAGGCAAGGGGCAGACACCCATAATCCCAACACTCTGGGAGGCTGAGGCAGGAGGAAGGCAAGATCCAGCATAGTCTGGGCAATTTAATGACTTAGCAAGACCCTGCCTCAAAAATTTTAAAAGGGCTGTTGATATAGGTTTATGCGAAGAACAGTGGGTTCAACCAGGTGTGGTGGCACACACCTGTAATCTGAGGCCAAGGCAGGAAGATTGCCATGCATACCATACTGAGACCAGCCTGGGCTACCTAGTGAGTTCAAGGCCATTCTAAACCTAATAGAGAGGGCTGGGGATTTAGCTTAGTGGTTCTGCTGCCTGCCTTGCAAGTGCAAGGTCCCGAGTTCAATCCCTGGTACTAAAAAACAAAACAAACAAATAAACTTAATAGCTAGATTCTATCTAAAAAAAAAAAAAAGTGGATTCAATCCCCAGCATCAAAAAAAAAAAAAAAAAAAAAAAAAGAATAAGTAAATAACTAAAAATTTTAAAAATAAAAGAGGATTTTAGGAAAAAGTCTTCAGGGCAGTGAAACATCTGAATTACAGTGGTTAATCTATTTTTTAAAATAAATTTTTCTTAAATATTTTTGTCATATTTAACATATGTAAGTACATGGATTTATAAAAGATGAAATGCCTAACTAACCCTAATTCTATAACATTCTGAGGCTGATAATTATTTGTAAATAAACAATTCCTGCTTGTTTTCTAAGTTATTTTCACAATAATAAGAGACCTCCAACTTAGATGATGAAATCATAGCCATTTCAGTCAGACAGAAACCATGAGGAATTTACCACCCAAAAGTGTATAGGTTACAGTCAGGGCCTCACTCCAAACTGAATGAAAGTGGAAGAGCAAGCAGAGCAAAGCAACAGACTGACAATTATTAAAGACTTAATATTTCACACCAGAGAAACTATTTGGTATTTACACATGTGTGACTTATTTATTTCACTTAGGAGTATATCCTCAATATGCATCCGTTTTCTCCTATGAATGACTCTAATTTCTCATTCTTTATGGCTGAGTAGTATTCCTAAACTATCATTGTACATAAGATCCTAATGGTATAATTGACAATGTGAAACAGGAAGAAAAGGGCTAAAGGTGTAGGGGAAATAGGAAGGGTAGGGGAAGGGAATAAGGGAAAAGAAAAAAATTTTGAGAAAATGGAAATAAAGTATTTGTAAAAAGGGAAGGGAGGAGGGAGTGAAAGCAAGGCAGGGGTAAGGGGAAAAAATGAGAACCAAGACCTGTCATGTAAAGGTACAAGATCCCAATGATGAATGTAACTGTACTGTATACCTAAAAACTACCAACAAACTCATTGAGGAAAAGAAAAAAGAAACCAAAGGCAGAGTCCAGAAAGTGAAGGCACAGGAGATGGGAAAAGGAAGCTGAGGGGAACTGGATTAAAGCTACCATGAAAATGGCAAAAAAAAAAAAAAAAAAAAAAAAAAAAAAAAAAAAAAAAAAAAAAGAATATTAGCACAAGATATAGCATTATTTACAGATTTATCTTAGTAATTCCAATTGGCTAAAGCTCACAATAGCATCAAAATTACTTATCTAAGCAAGTATCAACTGATGGTAGAGGGAGAGCAGAAGCATAAACTTTGACTACAGATAATCTGAATCTGAGGCAGACACAGCTTTTCAGGTTCGACTGTTCTTCATTTAGAGGTTTTACTCAGTTCAGTGAACAGGCAAGAACCCACACGCCTGGCTGCTAAAGAGAATACCTGAATAACCTCACACACTTACCTCTTTAAGGTACCGAACTAGGCGACAGAGGGAGCTGACCAGGGACAACGTGAAGCCTGTGAGACCCTGGCCGCCCTGCAGTCCCGTGACCTCACGGCCCGTGCACCGCTCATAGTCTTCCATCTGCTGCTCCACCTCGTGGATCATGTGTTTGAGGACATCCAGGCTGGAGTTAGTGCCACCTTGCAAGTCTGCAGAGGCTGTGCTCGCTGACAGCATGTTTTTCTTCTGCTTGGAAGGAACACACAAATCTGGTCTTCTTTTCACTAAGAATGAGAAGTCAAAAACTTACAACTACAAAGTGACTAGACAAACTTTCTGTCTGTTGCTCACAATTTATCAAATGTTTTTATGGACATTATTACCATTTTATCATTAAAAATCTATACAATTTAAACAAAGCTTATAGTCTCGATAATAAATATACTAGAACCATCCTTCCAGATTTATGTGGAATAGGAAGGATTTCCTAGCTATTCTTTCAAAAGCATCCAACTGGATGCATTTAAGGGAAAAAAACAACGTGTACCAAGTGGTTAAGATAGCTATATCAAGTTACATGTTTATTTTTCTTGGTAAATTAAGGAACTGAACCTTTACTTAACAGCTGTTTTTGCTTCCTTGAGTTCAGCACTTGTCCCACAATATAGCTTGAGTCTAGAGTCCCAGGGGATTCTTCAGATTGAGGTCTGCTTTCGATTCTCTTGACAGCATCAGTAGCATTCAGAGCAGCTAAATAAGGGAACATTGCCAACAGCATCCCAGTGAGCAAACTTGCTTTAAAAAGTATTTCAAATGATGGATTCATGAGTATTTTACTCAATTAGGCTACATAAGCGTGTCAAATGGCAGTCAAACGTTAAATTATACTCCTTTAGAAATCACCATGTCCCACAAAGAATTAAATAAAGTTCTACAAGGCAAAGTGGGTACAAACCTCTTTGTTCCTCTGATGAAAGAGCAGAAGACAGAGTTGCAGGAGGGACTGTTATTTGTGACTGCATTGCTATCTTCTGCTGAATATCGGTCCACAGTTTATTAATTAACTCAGAATTATCTTCTTTCAGTTGGTGGAGAAACCTGTAAATAACAGAACAATATACCATATTAGAATTAATAAGTGCTTCAGTGTTTCAATGTCTACATGCTTGATTTGAAAGAGCTTTCAGCAATCCACAAATATATATATATATACACACACACACACACACACACACATATATATATATATATAGTCTGACAGCTGAAGAGTAAAGGGTTTCTTTTTGGAGAGATGAAAATATCCTAAAACTAGTTGTATCGGTGACCACATGACTGGGAATATACAAAACAGAACTGAGTGTTACAGTTTAGATAAGTGAACTGTATACACATGAAATATAAATCAGTAAACCTACTTTTAAAAAGGAAGGTAGGAATCTTATTTATTGATGTCACAAACATCAACCTAGAGAGAAGCCGCTTTTAAGCCATCTATGGACAGCACATTAGAACATAAAAACAGCCTCTTTAGCCCAAGGTCCATGGTAGGGTCTCAAAATAACAGAAACCCCTTCGTGAGGCATTAACATTAAATTCAACCTTCAGTATAAAGCCCAAGAAGGGTGTTATTATGATGCTTCTATATAAGTTAGGTAACTAAATTCTAATCAGTCTGACATTTTTACTGCCTCTAATGTTTATAATCTTAAAAGTCAGGTTATACAAAATAATAATAAAAAAAATAATACAAGTATCATCGTTGTAGGCTACAAAAGGGCCCACCAAATGTTAACCACGACCTAAACACAAGAACCGTGACTAAGGATCCCAAGAGATGGGGAAATGATTCCAGATTATAAGAGTCTCCTTAAATGCAATCATGCACATACTCAGACGATGGAGGCAGAGGGAGGGTCCAACACATGGAGGGAGAAGGTGATGTGAAGACAGAGCGGGGATGAGAGTGACACAGCCACAAGCCACGGAACACCCAGTCCCTGACGGCAGAAAAGAACAGACTCCCTTGGAGCCTTCAGAGGGATTACGGCTCTACTACTGCAGCTGATCACAGATTTCTAATCCCCAGAGCTGCAAGAGAATACATTTCTATTGTTTTAAACCACCAAGTTTGTGTTCATTTATTACAGCATCCACAGAAAATTTATATGGGGTGCTAGTGCAGTAAGTACCTAAAAATATGGAAGTGGCTATGTAACTGAATAATGAGTAAAGGTTGGACAAGAATTTAGGTGGATGACTTAAGATGGGGAAAACTTGTAATCACTGCTTCTTCCTCTGACTGTACTAATTGGCAGAAACATCAATGACCCAAAATAAGCTTTTTAAGATTGGGTTATAATATGTAGTATCACTGTGCGAAATCTCTTCAGTGATCACAGAAGCATATCATGATAGAATTTTCAAACCAGAGGCACCTTAGATAGCATACGTTCTTCCTGTCACATTTTAGAAATGAGGAAGTAAGGACTATAGATTAAATAGCTAGTAAATACCCAAAGGTTTGATCTCTCGATTCCAGGCCTAATACACCTTCTTATATCTCATACTAAATATTTAAGGTAGTCTAAAGTTGGACAAAACCTGTTCATGTAACTGAGATAAAATTAACCACAGCCAGTAAGTAACAAACACTAATTTAACTCAAATATAAAAAATAAAAGCAATTTTGTATAAGACTAGTTATATTTAGTTTTTGAACAAAAAAGTGCTTAACAGATTATATTTATAAGTACGCCTGTGAAAATGATAAATTTGAGTCCTTCAACTTAACCTCCAAACATTAGCCAGTGTCAACAAGAAGTACAAATAAAACAGCACATAATCCATACCTTCTACATTACAGGAAAGCAGAGGATGCTACTAATTTCAAATTACTTTTAACTAGAAAATACTTCCCCATCAAAATCATGTATAGGTACAAATTCCCTAGGAAGAGTGTTACCATTATGAATACCTAAAATGTACCAGTAAATGTTTTCTAGCAAAAATATTTCCTGAGCTCCTGTCAGGAGCCTTTTAGAAAGTTGGGCACTTTGAAATGGCTGCACAGAGAAGAGGAAAGCTGAGGGCCTTAATGGAGACAAAAGTCACCCCAGGAAGAGAAAGTCCACTCTCAATACGCAAATACTTAAAAAGAAAAGGTAAAAAACCTAGGAGATCTCCATATGTGAAAGTGATAATCTTAGAAAGGATCACTTTTTGGGGCAGAGATGCCCTTTGGAGACTTGAGTGGCAAGGGGTGGGGGAAGCAAGAGATTTTCAAGGCAGAACAGAACCACAATATCGAAGAAATCAGCTTTCACTCTATTTTTGAAAGCATCCATTAAACCGTGTCCACTATAACTGACAGAAGAACGTGCTCTGAGCTAGGAATCTTGTAAGCCCCTCAAACTTTCCACCCTATCCACAAAATAGACTAAAACAGTAAACCCTCACACGAAAGCAACATAACAAAAGAGAACATAGAAACTGAAATAGTTCAACACATGAAAATTCCTCCCCCACTCCACCATAAAAATAAAAAACAGTAGAAGAAACTATAATACAATACTCTAGTGTAGTTAAATGTAGTTAAAAGACTATGAAGATATGAATAAAACCACTAACGAATTAAGACTATAATGTTTTAGAAAAACAGACAAAAGACATGAACAAAGCATTCACTGTAATGTCTCTTTTTTTATTTTTATTTTTTATTAATTGAGTCTATTGCTACATTTAAGGTATACAATACAATTACGTTCATTATTGGGATCTTGTACCTTTACATGACAGGTCTTGGTTCCCCTTTTGTTCCCCCCTTGTCCGTGCCTTCCCTTCACCTCCTCCTCTCCTCCCCATTTACAAACACTTTATTTCCATTTTTTCATTTTCTCATATTTTTTTCTTTTCCCTTATCACCTTTCCCCTACCCTTCCCACTTCCCCTACACCTTTAGCCCTTTTCTTCCTATTTCACATGGTCAATTATATCATTAGGATCTTATGTACTATTACAGTTTTCCACACCAGAGAAACTATTCGGTATTTACACCTGTGTGACTTATTTATTTCACTTAGGAGTATGTCTTCAATATGTATCCATTTTCTTATGAATCAATCTAATCTCTCATTCTTTATGGCTGAGTAGTATTCCATTTTATAGAAAAACCACATCTTCTTTATCCAGTCTCCAACTGATGCGCAAAAGGGCTGTTTCCAAGATTAAGCTATTACAAACTGTGCTGCTATAAACATTGGTGCGCATGTATCGCTGTGATATGATTCTTTTAATTCTTTTGGAAAGATTCCCAGCAGAGGGAAGGCTGGGTCAAATGGAACCTCTAGTCCCAGCTCTTTGAGGTATCTCCATATTGATTTCCATAGTGGTTGCACCAGTCTGGACTCCCACCAACAATGGAGAAGGGTTCCTTTCTCCCACAACCCTGCCAACATTTGTAATTGATTTGATTTCTTGATAGCAGCCATTCTTTGTGGGGTGAGGTGGAATCTCAGTGTTGTTTTCATCTGGATCTCTCCAATAACCAGTGATGTGGAACATTTTTTCATATATTTACTTGCTGCTTTTACTTCTTTGTCTGAGAAATGTCTGTTCATTTCAGAGGCCCATTTATAAATTGGGTCTTTATATTTGTGGGGGCTGATTGTTTTGAGTTCTTTATACATTCTTGATTGTAGTCCTTTGTCTGAGGAGAAGCTGGTAAAAAATTTTTCCCACATTGTACATTGCCTCTTAGTTCTGTTGATGGTTTCTTCTGCAGTACAGAAGCTTTTTAATAAGATGAGATCCCACTTAGATACTAGCAAACAGAATCAGAGGATCATCAAGAAGATCATACACCCTGACCAAGTCGGATTTATTCCAGGGATGCAAGGATGATTCAACATATGTAAGTCAATAAATGTAATACACTATATTAACAGAGTCAAGGACAAAAATCATATGATCCTCTCGATAGATGCAGAAAAAGCATTTGACAAAATTCAACACCCATTCATGATAAAAACCCTACAAAAAATTGGAATAGATAGTCTATATCGCAACTTAATAAAGGCTATCTATGAAAAACCAACAGTCAACATCATATTAAATGGCCAAAAACTGAAAACCTTCACATTAAAATCAGTAACAAGACAAGGATGCTCACTATCACCACTCCTCTTTGATATAGTTCTGGAAACATTAGCCACAGCAATTAGACAAGAGAAAGAAATTAAAGCAATAACAATAGGAAAGGAAGAAGTTAAACTGTCATTATTTGCTGATGATATGATACTCTACTTTGAAGACCCAAAAAACTCTACCGAAAGATTTCTAGACCTAATTGACACTTTTAGCAGAGTAGCTGGATACAAGGTCAACACCCAAAAATCAATAGCCTTCTTGTACAAAAACACAGACTCACTGAGAGAGAAATTAGGGAAACAGTTTCTGTCACAATAGCATCCAAAAAAATGAAGTATCTAGGAATCAATCTAACAAAAGAAGCAAAAGACCTCTACACTGAAAACTACAGACAGCACTGTAAAAAAAGAGATTGAAGAGGATATAAGAAAATGGAAAGATATCCCCTGCTCCTGGGTAGGGAGAATCAACATAGTGAAAATGGCCATACTACCAAAACTGCTATACAGATTCAATGCAATGCCAATTGAAATTCCAACACTATATTTCACAGAACTAGAAAAAATAATCCAAAAATTCATTTGGAACCAGAAGAGCCCTAGAATAGCAAAAGCCATCCTAGGCAACAGACACATGGCAGCGGGTATAACAATTTCCAATTTGAAACTATACTACAAAGCCACTGTGATAAAAACAGCATGGTACTGGTGAAGAAACAGATCTGAGTATCAGTGGAACAGGCTGGAAGACACAAAAACAAATCCAGATGCACTCAGCTATGTCATCTTTGATAAAGGAGCTGACCATCCTCAGTGGAGGAAAGATAGCCTCTTTAATAAATGGTGTTGGAAAAACTGGATTTCAACCTGCCAAAGATTAAAACTGGACCCTTATCTTTCACCATGCACTAAATTAAAATCCAAGTGGATTAAGGATCTAAACATTAAAACAGAAACACTAAACTTGCTGGAAGATAAGTTAGGCTGAATTCTTGAAGACATTGGCATACAAAAAGACTTTTTGAACAAATCCTCAGTAGCACAGGAACTAGCACAAAGAATCACTGCAATGTCTCTTAAATGTCTAAAATATTTTCAACTTATAAAGTACAAAGTTAAACAACATTGCAATAGCATTTCTCACCTATGAAATCATTAGCAAAAATTTTAAAAGCTGACAATATATTCTGTTGGCCAGATATACAAGTACAAAATATTACAAAATAAGGCAGAATTTGGCAATTTCAAACACAATGACCTGACATTTGCCTTTTAACTCCCAAATCACACTTCAAACAATTTTCCCTAAATATGGACTTCTGATAATATAAAACACATATGTACAAGATTATTCTTTGCAGAATTTTTGTTTTTAGAAAGTGCTGGAAATAACCTAAATGGCCACATACATCAAAAATCATGCCTCAAAATAAATATTTAAAAAATTATACAAAATGGTTGTCAAAAGCCATTGCAATGGATATAGATATGCACGTGTGTGTGTGTGTGTGTGTGAGTATAAAAACACAGGAAAAGAAAAATATATAAAATAAACATAGGAAAGTTTCTAACTGGTGAATCTGAGTGAAAAGCATACTGGAGTTTTTTACACTATTCTTACAACTCTTGAAACTACATGCACACAAAAAATTTAAATAAAGATATACTCTCAATTAGTTAAAAGAAAAAAGATGCAATACAAAAACATTTGAAATAGACTTGTAGGAAAGGCAAGAACAGTGGATACCTGACCTGCGCACATACCTGTCCATGTTCATGCTAGCCTGAGGGTTTAGAGAGTTATCCATCTCATTCTCACTTTCTTCAGACTGGCTGTTAACTGTTCCTTCTACTTCATCATCTACTTCATTAAGGGCCTAACTCAACACAAGAAAATAAATAATACAGGTTGTTACATGCACAATCCTCTGTTCTTTCTGTTGTAAAGTAAAGAGACTTCCCAAGGTTAATGCCTCCTTCATGGTTGTTCTGGAACCTAAAGCCTTTCACTCCCTTCTGCCCCATCAACTGTCTGTCCTCTCTCCAACATCTTCAGCCTCCTCTCCCTCTCTGTGTAGCTTCCCGGCAACCTCCCGTTCTGCTTCAGCCAAGCAAGTTTCATTGTGCACAAGCCACTCTCACCTTACCCTGATCCTATATCCACTTCTGAGCTACTATCGATCTTGCCAAACTTCTTTAACAAGTTCCTCCCACTTCTAAATCACCAGCTAGACCTTATAATTTTGCTTTTCCCCTCCACTCCACTCTACAAGGTCATTATCAACACATGTATTCCGTCTTTATCTTCCTTTACTAATCTGACTTATTGGACCTTAATGACCACTAATTTGTTTCTTTTAAAATCTCAATATATTACTTATCCTTTAACTTCCATGAGACTGGATTTTCTTCTTTCCTGCTCCTCCTTCCCAATCTCCTGTACTGGTTTTCCTTTTCTACCCTTCTCTTCTATCTGATGACACTTGAGGTCCTCCCTTTTCTGCTTTCATCGGATCCACTTTTTGAATGATTTTATCTAAGTCCAAAGTTGCAATTTCAAGTCAGTGCTGTTAATTTCCAAATCTTTATCTCTACCCAGATCTCTCGTGAGCCTGATACATTTATATTCAACTGCCTAAAACATATCCCTACCCATGTGCCCAAAGCTGAACACCTTCCTAAGCCTTTCCCACCGTTCTTCAGAAACCTTTTTAGCTAATATTGCCTTAGACTATGAACACTGCCACTATCTACTCAGATGTTGAACCAGCAAACTAAGAGCTTCTTTTTCACCCATCACATCTAAGCAGCCATCTAATCCGGTCAACTCTACCCCATTTTAATCTTTCTAAAATTTATGCCTACTCCTTTATTTCTTCCCTCTTGGCACTGTTTTAGGTCAGGGCCTTACCACTTCTTATCAAGATTGCAAACTGAGTCTTCTAACCACACTGCTGTGGTTTAAATATAGCTCATTCGCTTCAAACTTCGTGTTGAAATTAATCCTCATTATGAGATCTTCAGAGATAGGACCAGGTGGGAAGTAATTAGGGTTTTTGCCTCCACAACTGAATGAATCCATTACTGGACTAATAGATGAATGAGTTATGTCAAGAGCGGTTCCGCTATTAAAAGCCAGTCTGGCTTCACCTCACAGCACACGATTCCCCAGTCACCTCAGCGCTCTGCTAACAGGACCATGAACAGATGTTGCCCCTACACCTTAGACCAGAAACACTGAACCAAAATGAACCTTTTCTCTTCAGAACTAGCCCAGTCTGTGCTGTGTTATTAGCGAAAGAAACCCAACTAGGGCACAGATCCTCTCTCTCCAGTCTCATCCCTCTCCAATCCATCTTACACACTACAGTCAATCTCATCATGATTCCACTTCAGATCCTTTAGTCGATTCACAACTTTCCAGGTCCTTAGGCTTTCAGGAGCTGGTCTTGCCACGTCCATGTGCCAATGGTGGAAACACACCAGCTGTTGCTGGCACACACTACGCACTTGTGTCCAAGCTCCAAATGACACAAGGTATTGCCAACAAACAGGGCATGACACCACACAACTTGAGTAAATGAAACGCTCCAGTTGAACGTATTACAGCAATAAGCTATTCATAGATGATTAAGCTTCTAATGATTTGAAAATCAACTTTTCAATAAGTGCAAAAATATAAATGGCTTTTGCCAATAGTTTTCGCTAATGGAATTTGGCTATTTTAAATAGGTACAACATTCTATTTAATTGCCTTTAAGTAGAAAACAATATAATTAGTATTTCTTTTATGATTCTGAACCCTAGGTTTAGCCCTTCAGTTAAAGATTTTCCCTTATTTTTAATGGAGGGAAAAAATAAGAAAATTCTGTTTAAAAGGTACAAAGTCCTAGTCATTTCTAAAATACTGTTTTATTTTAGTATTAAATTCTTTGTGGGCTTCTAAAAAATATTTATAATCTTAACATTCTAAACATTTTGACCAAGAGTTTCAATTATGTTAGAATATAGCTAATTAATAATTTATTAGTACAGCATCATGTACTATTATTTTCCCATAAATTCCATATTTTCTGGGCATTTGCTTTTAAACATATCAATACATTAAAATTGACCCAGGCCAGGGTGGGCCTGGTGGTGGCGCATGCCTGTAAGCCCAGCACTCAGGAGGCTGAGGCAGGAGGACCGCTGTGAGTCGGAGACCAGCCAGGACTACATAGTGAGTTCCAGGTCAGTCTCAACTACATAGTGAGACCCTGTCTCCAAAAAAAAAAAAAAAAATTGACCCACATTTAATACAGGGCTATATATATTCCTGACATTATGCCAGCCCTTTTACATAGCCTATCTCCACGTCTGAACAAAAAAACAAAAAGAAAAGACCACTTTGAGCCAACTCAGAAATCTTCAGGAAACAACTCAAGATCAAATAGCCAGTAAATAGCAGAGCACAGATCCACCTGATTCTGAGGAGCTCCCTGCTGCTTCCTTAATGATACACAGAGAGGCACATGATCGAAATTAGAGTTTCATCTCTGGTACAAACTACATGATCTTGGATAAGACAGTTTTTCTGAGCCTCACGCTCTTCATTACTAAATGAGGACAACAATAGGACCTATCCCCTAGGTAAGTACTCAGTAACTGTCCACTGTTACTATCCAGTCTCCTATCTTGTTTAGCATAAACATTACTCACACAAAGTGCGATACGCTTGCCTAACAGCAAATCTAGCAACCACCACTAGCAACCACTGCGGTTTAAGCTTTTAAAATGTTTACCACAGTGCCTACATCAACTCACACTTCATTTCAGTATAAGCACTATCATACAAGCACTGCACATTACCTGAGGCTCCAGGACAGACTCAGTAAGGATGGACTGGGCAATCGGGTCTTGGTTCACCGTGATGGGACCCTGAGAGGAAGCAGGAGCCATTGTTACATTTGGAAACCCTGCAGAAGGAAAGTAAGTCGTGATGACTTTGTTTCATTTAATTAAGTTGACTTCACAAGTTCTATACTGTTATAGATTTGTATCATCATATGAAAATCTCAAATAATAACAACAATAGCAGCAGATTATATTGAATAGTGCTTACTGTATACCACCATTTCCAAAGCTTATGTATGTATGAATGTACACACACACATATATATAAGCTCATTTTCACTCACAAAACCCCAAGAGGTAGATATATTATTTTACAGATCAATAAACTGAAGCTAAGAGAGTACAAACAACTACCTTAGTGTTACACTAGTAAACAGTTGAGCCACAACTCAAACTTTACACGAAAACTGTTTCTTGAGGAATTAAGAAGAAAAATTAGCTATATACACATCAAAATGATAATGCTGTGTATCTGATAAGAGGCAAAGTTTCTTTTAGGGAAAAATTGAAGTTTTCAGTGCAAAGTTTTAAATTTCAAGTTAAACTTCACTCAGATTATATATCAGTGATGGCGAACCTTTTAGAGCTTTCAATGATAACAAACAGCCTGCTGCAGCACATGTGCCATAGGTTCGCCACCACTGTTTCACATACAAACACAAGTATTTTAATTTTATAATAAACTGAAAATTATCACATTTTAAAGTTAAGAAATACTACACATTATGCCATATTTTAGTAGATAATAACAATTTACCTTTCTTTAGGTGAATAATTTGTAATGATATCATTAGCAAAAAGCAAACAAGTTATGACTCTAACCCTAGAAACCCCGTATATTATCCATCCTGAAAATTTGTAATATATATTTTGCCTGTGAAAGAACGTTAAGTTCTTTCAAGCTGTCAATAAAGAAAAGAAGCTTTTGTTTGGACGGAATATTTAACTTACCTGTGCGCCTGAAAGGAGCATCAACAAAGAGCTTTTTTGCTGCAGCCATCAAATGATCAGATTTCTCCAACACATCCTGCATCTGGTACTGATCAGAAAGAATCTAGACATGTGTGAATGACAATTATTATTCAGAAACAAAATATATTTACTTTTCAAGTCACAAAAGAAAAGACAAAGACTACATAAAGAATCAGTACAAAATAACCATAGGCCATCTCCTACAGTCCTTCAGTGGCAATATCCTTAGCTACCAGCAGATGGAGCTACTGCAACTGTTAGCAGCTTTCAAGTAATAGCTAGCAAACCAAAGAAATACACATTAAATTATGAACCAGTATACTCACATCTACACAAATATATCTACATATATAATAAAAATTTTACTTAACCTTTATCTATGAAAACTTTTTAAAAAATTAATTTTATCGGTACCTTTAAGGTGTACAATATGATGAAATTCATCACTGAAAATTGCATCTTTACATAATCCATCTTGGTTCTTTTTTTCCCCATTCCCTGCCCTCCCTTCAACCCCTCCCTCCCTCCCTATCTACAAAGACTTTGTTTCCATTTTTTCATTTTCTCACATTAATTCCATTCCCTCCTTTCTTCTCCCCTACCCCTCCCATTTCCCCTTCCTCTTTGCCCCTTTTCTTCCTATTTCACATGAACTATTCTTTTAGTCCTCATTTACCCTGTTTCTCACACTAGAAACTATTCAGTATTTACACGTGTCCTATTTATTTCTCCTAAGAATATTGCCTCTATGTGTATCCATTTAGCTTTTATATTTTCTCTTAATTTCTATTCTATTTTTAAAAGATGATAACCTACTAACTTGATTTCACAGTTCACTTACAAGTTAACATCCACCGTTTGAAGAACACAAAGCAGAGACAAGACCCTTTAAGTCATAAACTGAGAGATGCTTCAATCACTAAAGTAATTTCATCATCTATATTGGGTCATAATTAAAATGAGTTTTAGGATTAAACAAGTTCTTCTATGTTTACAAACAAGTTGGTTTTTTTATGCTGGAGAAGTAGGAACTCAGAAAATTGCCTTAGTGGTGCCTTTAATACGCACTTTCCTCTTAGGAGCCTTCATAATTTCAAGTGAGGCCACAGGCTAGAGTAAAAAGTAAGTCAATTCTATCTATTACCATCAGGTGGCACTCTTACACTGAAGGATGTCAAAACAGCCCAGTGTCCAAGACTGACTCAAATCAATAAAACATCTGGTAACAAATGTTCTTACCAGAATTTCTCTATATCACATAATTATATAATGTGACCTCAGTTGTGATTTTAGGACACAGAAAGATAAGGCGTATTCTTACTTTTTTCCTCTCTCCTACTATACAAAGCCAAGCAGGTCAGCTAGCTCAATTGGTGAGAATAAAGTTCTGAATCCATTCCTTCCAAAAGAGTAAGCTTTAGGCTAGGGATTTAGCTCAGTGGTTCCAATGCCTGCCTTGCTAGCACAAAGTCCCAAGTTCAATCCTCAGTACAAAAAATAAAACAGTAAGCTTTGGAATGTTAAGGCCGAGAGCACAAGATTGATGCTCTAGGTCCAGTCAAGGAAAACTAGGCAATATCTGATCACTTTAAACTTAAATTTCCTGATGTGGCAATGGAGATACAACTATTTCTCACCCCCACAGAGGTCTGTTACACTGAAAACCTGTACAGCACTCTAGTGATGCTTGAGAATGCTATTACAGTGTAAATTACATTACCCTCTATCCCCAGTGAGCTATAAGTACAGGCAACTAAGAGCTTAGGAGAGAATGTGAATGGGGTTAGAATCTATTGTTAAAGCAGGACAATTATCAAAAGCTGATTTCATAATAGCCATTTTTAAGAGTCTACTATAAAAAAGAACACTGATCTATCAAAGACTAAAGACCTCAAAGAGACAGAAGCAGACTGTGGAGGAATACTCTTACCAATCATAATGAAACCTGATATTAATGAGGTCTCAAGTAAACTCTGCCCTGCTACCTTCTGCAGGTGTCTGCTCAGGCTCCTTGGAACAGATGTTTGGGTGATCAAATAGTAGCAATTGTACTGACCTATCTTCACTCTTTCTAGATTTATTGTTTGTTCGTTCCATAAAACTCATTTTTTGGACAGGCAAACTGATCTCTGCAAGCCCATCTATATATATATGCTATTACTATCCCAAAATGTATTTACAGAGTACACAGTTGCAAGTGGTAGTGAATACTTTGGGATTTTTCAAAGATTTGGTCAGTCAAGATCCTGGCAAAATATTATTAGAAACTCTTCATCTTCTCCTTTTTGTTCCCTGATAATAGGAACTAAATGGAAGTGAGATATTACAAAGACTTGGGGAGTTGTTACACTTTTGGAATTTGTGAAATCCTTATGAAAGCCTCCTTTCTCTGAGTTGGACTTAAACCCAATTTCCTTGATTCTCATGGCCTTGATACATGATACAGCAAATGCTATCTAAGACTACACTGGGGAAGAGCTTTTCTTTTAATTTATGCGAGTCTACGTGTACACGGCTGGGTCTTCAGACAGATGAGTCTTGTGGCTTCAAAACACAATAATTAAGCCTAAATGGATATGCTAATGGAGAGCTTTTCCTTTGGTCCTATCGTATCCCTTAAACACAAACATTACAAAATCTGAAACATCTGAAAAGATGCAAGTATTTCTGATTCAACAATTTTTAAATAATTTATCCTATATACATGTACACCAAAACATATTCAAGAATCTATCACATTATTTATAGTGGCAAGGCAGAAGGCAATTTATGGGTAGCATACACTGCTACTTAGCCACCAATATTCTTTCTTCCTCACTGCCCTTCAGCATCAGCACTCCCCAGTTTTAGCCAAGTATACAGCTAGATTTCCCAACTGCCTTTGCAGGTGAGAATGAATGTGCAATGACTTTCTGGTCAACAGGAAATATGCCACAACTTCCGGAAGGGAACCTTCCATTGGCTTGCATACAGCTGAAGGAAGCTGTACTCAGAGATGGAAGCCATATAACAAAGGACTGCAGACTCCCTTCTCACGGAGTCTGAACTGTTTTTTGAGACAGAAATAAATCTCCATTTGGTTCAAACCACTATGATCTACAGTCCTTTCTTTCCTGGAAGTTTAATGTTACACTCTTATACAAGCTGTGTCCATCAATAAAACACTGATAGGTAAATTATAGTAAATCTATACACTACTTAGCTATTACAAAGAAAAGATAAAATCTGGAGATGCTGCTCACTGTTAGCCACTTCTCTAGCATGTGCAGGGGCCCAGGTTTGATCCCAGTACCACATTAAAAAAAGACAAAAAGAAAAAATAGGTAAATATCTAAGTACTGACATGGAATAACTTCCAAGATACACTGTTAAAGGGAAATGAGTGAATTCCTCTAAGATGTTTTCAACCCTACAGCCACATTAAAATTACTCAGAAAACTACCTATAAAATACCTCGATGGGACCATATACATATCAATTAAATCCAAACCTCTGGGCACACAGTCCAGACACAGTTACATTTTTTAGAGGACCTTTTCAACCATGACTAATTCTAATGTGCTATCTCGGTTTAGAACTACTACCCAGGAGCACTAGCAAAAAGAAGGCAGAGAAACTTCAGTCATCCTCTCTCTAAGCTTCTTTGAATCCTGCTTCCACCATATCTGTTACTTGTAGGAGACATTAAGGACAATGAGCAGAAGGCACTAGAGTGGGAACACTAAAGCCCAGAATCTGATGCACTGCCAAGGCGCTGCCTTTTCCTGGATAGAAATATGTCTTCAAGCCTTTCAGTGAGCATTAGCATGTGACACTCCAATCACGTGAGCATCCAAGATCACCACAAACTAGTTATCTGTAAAGGAGACTTCTCTCTCAATCCACTATTCTTTCCTCAAGCTTATGTAAATCTTTATTTGAGAGATGAAATTCTTCCTGATGCTATGTGAGACTAGGACTTTACTCAACAAGAACCCTAATAAAGTCCTCAAAAAACAGGGCGTGATTTAAGGCTGGCATGAAGGGTCACCCAGACCACCCAGTGCCTTAGCTTCAACATGAATAAGAGGCAGCACTACAAAGCACATTCCTTTACAGTGATTTCAGCTCAAATTCAGGTCATTTTGCTGTAGTTTCCTCTTATTTCCCTTATTTATCCCTACATATTTGATTACTTATCCAAACGCCCTACCTCTACCAAAAGGTTAACCCTAAAATAAGTGGATTACTACCTAGCTAGATAAGCCACAACATTCTTTTATTTACTCATTTTTTGCTAAGTAATCTAACAGCAGTGCTACTGAACTGAGAAAAATAATCATAGTAGTTCACGTACAGAAGAGACTAATTATGTGCCAAAGACCATGCTGATCACTTTATAATATTATTAAAATCTCATAATACTACAACCAGAAATTTTAAAGATGAGACAATTAAGGCTGAGAAGTTAAATAATTTAAGATCACAGAGCTAGTGAGTTGTAGAGCAAGAATTCAAACCACCACACTAGACTCCAATCATCATTCTATTTTTTTCAAAGTCCACATACAATGTATAACTACAAAATAAAGTCAATGCTTAAATTTTTAAAATTACAATAAAATATATACTGCCATTAATCTCTTCAAAATATTCCTCCTTGCTTGGACACATCAACCCCATAGTTCTTGCCGCTCTCTGAAGTAGTTCTGGAAGTTGGTCCTTTTTAATGAGTGTCCTTAGGTGCACTATCAATGGTGGCCTGCCTTAGTGTCCTAAACTGATTCAAAACATTGACCTTTCATGGTCATTTTGACTTTGAGGAAGAGCCAGAAGTCACACGGCAGTAGATCCAGTGAATGAGACGGATGAAGATACGCTGTAATATTTTCACAAGCCTGCCTTTCCATCAGAAGGCACTGGACAATTGCATTCACTGAATTAATCACACCACTTAAGGATGCTCAAAAAAAAGACTTCGAGGACCGTTTCAGAAAGTGCAAGAACAATGGGATAGTGTGTTCAAAGTGATTGGGAATATTTTGAGGGGGGTTATAGCAATGTGTCTTCTACTGTAGTAAATTTTTTAATGTAAATACATACTTTATTTTTTGATCAGCCCTTGTAGATCACTGTATAAAGATGCCTTTACTAGTATCTCCCTAACGTGAATCAAATTCAAGGAAAAGGAGAGAACCTCTTTTATTTTTTTTTCTAATTCTTAAGATAATTCCTATTAGCATTACCTCCTTCATGATAGACAATCTAGTTTTCTCTAGATTCCAAGTTTCTGGTTTCTGTTTCCTGCATTTTCTTCTCAGAGCTTTTTCTTGGAGTTCCCAGTGTACTAATGCTCTATTCTTTGATTTGTGTATTTCATGACGATGTATCTATACAGAAAGAAAATAATTCAAAGGAATATTTTCAGTAACAAAGAAGTTGCCTATACAGGTGGTAGGACCACCTAGTAATCTAGTTCATCACTTTTCTACTTCTTCTGGGCTTATATATATATATATACGTATATATATGTATATATGTATATATACGTATATATATATATACATATATATACGTATATA